ATATATCATATGCCACTGTACGGGGGCCCCTGCCACGGGCTGGCCCCCCCCCATCCCCCTTTGTGGCCCATTTCCCGTCCGGAGCCGCCTGGGCCTCCCCCCGGCCACCCTGGCCGCCCAAACACCCTCCAGGGGACACGACTCAGCGACGAGAGCGGCGCAATAGGGCCCAAGACGCCCGGCCGAAGAGCTTCCACGAGGCCTCCAAGACGCCCCAAGAAGGTTCCAAGATGCTCCCTGAAAGGGCCCGGGATGGCCAAAATTGCCACCATCATTCTGCTGGAAGATGTATATTTCCAGCATGTTCGTTTTTAAAATCATCACAGCGCCCGGGACGGCCCGAGAGTTCCCGAAGATCGCCCACGACGGCCCAAAAGGCACCCAAGAGAGCCCCAAGACGGCCCAAGAGAGCCCGAAGAGGGAACTCCAGCTCACATGTCGAGCCCTCCGCCCCAAGTGGACCTCCCAGGCCGACAGCAGGCCCCAAAGAGGCCCCCAAGTGGCCCCCAAGTGATTGGCCCAAGTGGCCTGAAAGAGGCCCCACGAGGCGCCCATACAGCCCCCAAGAGGCCCCAGGAGGCTTCAAAGCTGGCTCCAAGGGGCGCCCGAGACTCATGCCAGGAGACCCCAACAGGTATCAAAGAAGTCTCTGACCGACAACCCAGGCACGGTGGCAGTACGAGCCGCGAGCGGACAGCACGCCACCCTGCAGTCCAGTCGGGTTTCCTTCGCCTTGGCGGGCGCCCAGCGTCGCGTTAGCCTGGGGGGACGAGGACCGAGGGACTTTGTTTCTGGGCGGCGGGCCATGGCCCGTCGCCCGCAACATTCACCTCCTGCCCGAGGCGCCCCCCCGGCCGCGAGACGCGGTCAAGAGGGGGGTCCCATGGGGCGTTCAAGGCTGAAACCGCAGTGTCCCGAGGCGCCCCCCCCGCCGCGAGCCGTAGTCAAGGAGGGGTGCCCAGGAGGCATTCGAGAGGAGCGCAGAACAAGGAACGAGTAGGTTAGATGGTTCTCCTGGTTTCCGTTCGAGTCTCCATTCTCTGTCTCCGTCTCTGTCTCTGTCTCTCTCTCTCTCTCTCTTGTCTCCTCGGGTATCCCTCCGTTGTTTCCTGAGGCGCCCCCCTGGCCGCGAGACGCGGTCAAGGGGGGATGCCTGGGTGGCGTTCAATGTTGAAGCCGCGGTGTCCCGAGGCACCCCCCCTCCCTGGCCGCGAGACGTGGTCAAGGGGGATGCCTGGGAGGCGTTCAAGACGAGCGCAGAGCGAAGAGCGAGCAGGCTGGTTTGTTCTCCTATTAGTTTCCGTTCTCTCTTGTCTCCTCGGGTATCCCCCCGTTGTGTCCTGAGGCGCCCCCCCTGGCCGCGAGACGCGGTCAAGAGGAGAGCCCGGAAGGCGCGCTGAAACCGTGGTGCCCCGAGGCCCCCCTCCCCGCCGCGAGACGCGGTCACGGGGGGGTGCCCGGGGGGCATTCCAGGTTGAGGCCGTGGTGTCCCGAGGCCCCCCTCCCCGCCGCGAAACGTGGTCACGGGGGGGTGCCCGGGGGGCATTCCAGGTTGAGGCCGTGGTGCCCCGAGGCCCCCTTCCCCGCCGCGAGACGCGGTCACGGGGGGGGGCCCGGGGGGCATTCCAGGTTGAGGCCGTGGTGTCCCGAGGCCCCCCTCCCCGCCGCGAGAAACGGTCACGGGGGGGTGCCCGGGGGGCGCTCCAGGTTGAGGCCGTGGTGTCCCGAGGCCCCCCTCCCCTCCGCGAGACGCGGTCAAGGGGGGGTGCCCGGGGGGCGCTCCAGGTTGAAGCCGTAGTGTCCCGAAGCCCGCCCGGCCGCGAGACGCGGTCAAGGGGGGGTGCCCGGGGGGCGCTCCAGGTTGAGGCCGTGGTGTCCCGATGCGCCCCCCCCGGCCGCGAGACGCGGGAAAGGGGGGGGGGCCAGGGATTGTTAGTCCCGAGGTGTTCTCTCACCACGTTCATCATGTCGTTTGCGTTCCTGCAACCATCTGCATGACCCGTTCAATCAATCCACGCCTAGACGGTCCCAAGGGCGCCCAACACGCCTCAATAGAGCCCCAGGAGAGCCCCACGAGGGCCCCACGGGAGGCCCAACATGGCCCCACGAGGGTGCCAAGAGGTGTCGTGGGGCAGTATCTTGGAGGGTGTGGCTCCTAACGTGCCCCCGAGACCCCCCGGGAGGCCCCCGAAGATTTCAAGAACCCCCCAGAAGCTCCCGAGTGGCCCCGAGGAGACGCCGAGAGGCCCCCAAGAGGCCTTGCAGAGGCTTCAAGAGGACCCTGAGAATCACGCCGCGAGCCCACGAGGGGCGTCCAAGATGCCCATAAGACGCCCCTAACTGATGATCCATATCAGGTGTGTGCCGACATGGGCGGGGCGGCGGGATGCGAACCCTTGCTCTTAGGCCGTCGGCTTTGGGGCACGATGCGCGTGAGGAGTGAGTCGAAATACGCGGGGGGACGCTAATTATGCGAACCCTCCCACTAGGGCAGCACGTGGAACTACATCCTTCGGGGGCACGATCCGTGTGAAAGGCGTGCCGAGATGGGCGGAGGGACGCATGCAAACTTTGTCCCTGGCACTGTAGGTGGAGCTCCCAGATGGGCGCGATCCGTGTGAGGGGCGTGCCGACATTGGCGGGGCGATGCTATATGATCCGCGTGATTGGTACTCTTTCGCCTCGAGTTGAAACCATTTGTGGGTCACTACTTCAGTCAAGGGCTGCGGCTTGCTTGACCCTGGGGTGCGCTTCGTGCCGCTGCCACCGTCGCGGTGCCACCGCTGCCTCCGTTTCGCCACGGGGGTGTCGGTGCGAGCCTGGTGCCGCGCGCGTCAGGCTCCACCCTTTCCAGGTCAACAAGGAGCTTCTTGGAGCCCACTTCGGGATTCCATTGCGGCACCCTTGACGCCACTCTTGGGGCTGCTCGCGAGCCCTTGCGGCTTGCTTTTAGGGCTTAGGGGGCGCTTCCTTGGGCCCTCTTTTCTGACGCCATCTTCTGGCTTTCTTACGGCGCCTCTTGGGTTCCTCCTGTGACCCGCTCTGGAGCCCTCTTGGAGCTACTTGGGCCGCGCTTGGGCCCCCCTTGGAGCCTCTTTCGGGGAACTCATTGGCTGTTCTTGGCTGCCCATCGGCCCTGTCTTGGGCTCGCCTTGTGGTGCTCTTGGGCTCTTTCTAGGGCGGCTCATTCCTGGGATCTCTGAGGTCCCAGAATCATGTTCGGTATGTTGCATCATTGTGCGTTGTGTTGCATTGTATTCCGCTGGGTTGCTTTCCGTTGCATGTGCAATTGCATTGTTTCGTGATCCACATTGCATTCGTGAGCATTGCTCTGCTCTGCTTTGGTTTGCATGGCAGTGCAGTGCGTTGCTTTGCTAACTTGTGCTTGTAATTCATGCTTCGAGCCGCATTGGACCCGCATCAGGCTTGATTCCATGACAATGCGTTTCACTGCGCTGCCGTTTTGGTCACTCCATTACTTTCACTGGTGTGCATAGCTTTGCATTGAGAATTATTCAAATGTCCTTGTCGGCAATTCGTATCTGCTCTGCCCGCGTCATAGATGTATTTTCGCAATGTGTGGGTATGTCCCAATTACCCCAACCATTTGTGGGTAACTACTTGAGTGGCTATGTCCGTAGACGCGCTAACGGCAATGTAGGTAACGGCGATGTAGGTGTCGGCATTGTAGGTGGGACTGGTTCGTGGCCAAACAACTCATAGGACGGTTCGTGCGTGCCTACAATTCGCTGTGCCATTGTCGCTCGATACGTTCGCACATTTGACATGTAGGAAAGTGGGGTTCGTGATTTCTTACAATTTGCTCAAAAGTCGGATTCCCAACATCGCGGTTGACCAACATCGCCGTCAGCGCGGCCTCGGTATGTGACTTTGTCAAGGGTTGCGACTGAATAGAACCGAAGCGCGCGCGAAGCGCGCGCGTGTTTCTCGCCGAAAATGCACGGTACATGTACGTCCGAACCATGGCGTCGTCGTCGTCGTCGTCGTCGTCGTCGTCGTCGTCCTCGTCCTCGTCGTCGTCGTCGTCCGTCGTCCGTCGTCCGTCGTCCGTCGTCCGTCGTTCGTCGTCCAGTCCGTCGTCCGTCGTCGTGTCCTTGTCGTCATCGTCGTCGTCGTCGTCGTCTGTCGTCCGTCCTCGTCGTCGTCCTCGTCCTCGTCCTCGTCCTCGTCGTCGTGCTCCGTCGTCCGCCGTCCTCCGTCGTCCGTCCTCGTCCTCGTCTTCGTCCTCGTCCTCGTCCTCGTCGTCGTCCTCGTTGTCCTCGTCGTCGTCTGCAGGAGGGAGCCCCACCCCTCGGCGTGGGGTTGCCGCCCCGGCCGCTCCGCGCGACAGGAGGGGCGGCGGCCGCCGCCGCCGCCGAGGGCCTCGAGGACTCCTGGGCGGAGGCCTGGCGGCTCCGGCCGCCCGGGGGGGAGGTCCTCGCGTCGTCCTCCTCCTCCTGCTCCTCTTCCTCCTCCTCCTTCTTCTCCTCCCCCTCCTCCCTCCTCCTCCCGCTCCTCCTCCTCCCCCTCCTCCTCCTCCTCGTCCTCCGTCTCCTCCTCCCCCTCCTCCCTCCTCCTCCCGCTCCTCCTCCTCCTCCTGCCTCCTCCCGCTCACTCCTCCGGCCCCCTCCTCCTTCCTCCTCCTCCTCCTCCTCCTCCTCCCTCCTCTCCTCCTCCTCGCCTCCTCCCCCTCCTCCCTCCTCCCCGCCTCCTCGCTCCCCCTCCTCCTCCTCCCTCCTTCCTCTCTCCTCCTCCTCCTTCCTTCTTCCTCCTCCGCCTCCTTCTCCTCCTCCTCCCCCTCCTCCTCCTCCTCCTCCTCCTCCTCCTCCTCCTCCTCCTTCCCCCTCTTTGGCGGGAGGCCTCGCGTCGCCTGATCTCCAGGTCGGAGTAATTTGATCTGGTCGGAGGATCGCGCCGCAACGTCGTTGCATCGGCGATGCGACTCGATGTGGAGCCCGATTTTTCGCCACGTCGGCGCCGCCGATGCATCGCCGACGTCGACGATGCGCCGTCGGTGCATCGCCGATGCATCGCCGATGCATCGCCAATGCATCGCCGGTGCATCGGCGATCTGGCGCGATACTCCGACCCCATCTGCTCGGGCCCCACCCAGGAAGCCCCTATAGTTTGTGTGCTGTTGTTTTGGGCAGCAGGCGCGTACCTCCTTATGAAGCGTTCCAGAAAACGCCTCGCCTTCGAGGATCGAAGGAGCTGCCATCTCTTCCACGGCGGAAGGTCGGCGGAAGGTCGGCGGAAGGTGGCGGAAGTAAAACGGCGGCGGCACCGCTGGCAGAAGCCGGCGGACGCTCGCGGAAGCAAAGTCGACCTCCCAAGAGGTGACGTCACACATATATATATATATATATATATATATGTATATACACAAATATGTACATATATAACACATACATGCGTATACACAAGTTGATGACATATGTCTATACCTATTTGAAGTGACAAGGCCCCCTCCCCCGGGATGGCCCACACCTCATTCGGCCGCCTGGGTACGTTTCGGGTGGCCCCAAGGCCGCTCCGAGTCGGCCCGCAGTTACGGTCTGGACGGGCCACGAGCGGCCGCAGACAGGCCCAAGCGTGCTCCAAGACGGCCGAAGACCGCTCAGAGAGAGAGCCGCGTCGGACGGCCTCGAGACGGTCCAAGATCAGGGGCACCGACAGGGGGGGATGGGCATAGGGGGGGATGCATCAACCCCCAATCGCCCACTGATCGCCGACGGGCCCGATAGCCCAGCCTGCCCAGGAAGGTGCAGATTCGCCATCGGGGGCCTATCGCCGATCAATCGGAGATGTATCGCCCATTCCAGGTCGATGTTTCCCCCCTATGCCTATCTCCCCTTATCGTTGCCCTTCACAAGAGGGCTCCAATACGGTCCAAGAGGCTCTCCAGACGACCCCCGAAACACTTCAGGAGGCAAAACACACTGACTTGTCCGAGGGCTCTGGAAGGTGTTTGAAGTTCTCGCCTTTTCAGGACTCAGATGGCCCAAGTGCCGCAACAAATCGCTTCAAGACGGTTCAAGAGGCGCCCAAGAGGGCTCTCACACGGCCCAAGATGGCCCGAAGACGGCCCAAGGGGGCCCCAAGACGGCCAAAAATGCCCCATAACCTCAGGGGCCTCACGAGGCTTCCAAAGAAGCCAAAAGAGGGCCCCAAGAGGGCCTCAAGACGGCCACAGATCAGTAAAACGGACCGGCACGGTCCCAGGACTGCCCGAGTTGGCTCCAGAACGGCCCAAGAGGCCCCATGACGAGCCCCAAGAAGGCCCGCAGAGGCCAAGCTCATACATTTTCGCAGCGGTTGTTTCTTCATGTTTGTTTTATCCTGTGGAAGGATTTCAACGCCAAGGATTCCACTACGAACGATGGCGGAACGGCGAGGAAGGCGCCAGAAGGCCCCAAAAAGAGCGCCGAATGGTCGCGCGGAGGGTCTCATGACGCCCATGCCATGCCCTGGGAGCGGCTCAGAAGAGCACCTCAAGGACCAAAATCAAGTTTCTTATTTGCTGAGTATCCATGTCGCAAGCCCGCCTTTTGGGGCAGCGCAGCGTCGGCGATGCCCTGCGCAGCTCCCAGTCGCCCCACTGTTCGCCGAGCACCGCGCGCGAAAGCCGAAGTAACAGCCCAGGGCTTCGCAGGAGGCGCCGAAGCTGCTCCGAGGAAGGCCAGGAGCGGCCCCAGGATGTGCCCCGAGCCCCTCGGAACGGCCAAGACTGGCCAGTGACAGCCCCATACGAGCGGCGCAGGAAAACGGGGGCGTCTTCGCCGGCATTGGCGCGCAAGCTCCCCGCGTAAGGTCGCGCGCAGGCGACCTCGCTTTCAGTGCAGCGTGCCGCGCCGGCGGCCCGCGCAAGCCACCGCGAAAGGTCGCTATGCCACACTGGTCCTTCTCCCCCTCCTCCTCCCCTTCCTCCCCCTCCTCCCCCTCCTCCTCCTCCTCCTCCCCCTCCTCCTCCTCCTCCTCCTCCTCCTCCTCCTCCTCCTCCTCCTCCTCCCCACAGTGAGCGCCCAAGCGCCGCATGGACCCCCACGGCGGCGTGGAGACGCCCCGCGGGGACTCGGCAGGGACCCCTACGAAGCCTCGTTCGCGGGTTCCCGATGCGCTGTGAGCAAGTCTCTCAGAGCATCGGATTGAACTCTTCCGTAGACTTGGGCTGCAGGCTTCTGACGTCCCGTCTCGCTGGATGCCGCCTGGGACCATGTCGGACGGTGGCCATCGCCCGCCGCCGTGTCGCACGTGCCTTGCCCCGTACGCCTACTGCAGTCCGACCGAGGTGTAAGATCGAGGTCGGTTCGGGGAGGGTGCGGTGATGCTCTTCGTGCTTGTTGGGTGTTCTTGTGCAGCCTGGGGGAGGGCACCATCGGATGCGCTGTGTGCTCTGGCCGGCGGAGGGTCCCATGCTCTCGAGAGGTGGTCTTCTGGCCCGGGTCCGGCTGTGCGTGCTGCAGCTGGCGCTTCCATCGCCGGTTTCGCTTACTCGCGCCCTGTACTGCCGCCCCGGGGTGCTTGGCCGGCGCCAGACTGGATGAGAGTGGGGCGCTTCCGGCTGTTTGCCGTGACCGCTGGCCCTCTTCTCCTACTCCCGCCCCTCCCTCTTCCTTTTCATATACCATACCTATACGACCACCCTTCGGGTGATAAGGAGGTTGTGGGGGGGGAGAGGGGGGGGAACCAACATCTGACTCAATCGATCTCATTATCGATCTCACTCAACGGGACACCACGGGACATCACGGGACACCACGGGACACCGCAGGACACCGCGGGACACCTCTCGATCTCACTATCGATCTCACTCAACGGGACACCACGGGACACCACGGGCCACAACGGGACACCACGGGACACCGCGGGAAACCTCTTGATCTCACTATCGGTTTCACTATCGATTTCACTCAGCGGGACACCATAGGACACCACGGGACACCTCGGGACACCACATCGATCTCACTATCGACACCACGGGACACCTCGGGACACCTGTCGATTTCACTATCGATCTCACTATCGATCTCACTCATTTGGACACCACGGGACACCACGGGACACCTCGGAGCACCACATCGATCTCAGTATCGATCTCATTATCGATCTCACTCAGCGAGACACCACGGGACACCACGGGACACCTGTCGATCTCACTATCGATCTCACTCAACGGGACACCACGGGACACCTCGGGGCACCAGATCGATCTCAGTATCGATTTCACTATCGATCTCACGATCGATCTCACTCAATGGGACACCACGGGACACCACGGGACACCACGGGACACTGGCGGGACACCGCGCGGCACTGGCCGCCGGAGGAGGAACATTTGGTCCGGCCGAGGCCGAGCCACAGGAGGATTTCGGGACACCCGCGGGACACCGGCGGGACACCGCGCGGCACCGGCCGTCGGAGGAGGAACATATTGACCGGCCGCGGCCGAGCCACGGGAGAATTTCCTCTCGCCCGCCCACGCGGCTTCGCCTCGCCCGCACGCACGCACGGCACGCACGACACGAACCCGAAACCGCCTGCCTGCTTTGTCTTGCGCCATGGCCCGTATAGATGCCGCGCTCGGGGGCCACCCCCTGCGCAGCCCCTATGGTGTCGAGAAAGTGCCACGCGTGCTTTGTCCTGCACCATGGCCCACGTGTGCGGCCGTATCGGGACGTGTGCCTCATGTATGTGCCCAGTATGTACGCATACGTCGTGTGTGTGTTGTGTGTGTGTGTGTGTGTCTGTGTGTGCGTGAGGGGTGGGAGAAGGAGAGGGAGGCGGGTGGAAGACGCGGGTGCGACGCGGGTGGGAAGAAAACCAGAACCCCACGAAACATGTGGGAAAAACAAACAAACCTAAGGTCGACTGATAGAAACCTCAAACAACACAAGGAAAGCCAACACAACACAAAAAACCTAAGGTCGATTGATGGAACACTTAACAACACATAAGGAAACGAAGACACAACATGATCTACATTTTGTGCGCCCCCACCACCCACGCCCTGACCACGTGCCAAACACTTTTTTGTTGTTTTGTTTTTTTCACCTGCCGATCTTTGGTGTTGTTTTGTGCTTCTTGTGTTGTTTGGGCTTTTTTTCGTTCGCCCCTCGCAAGAATGCCGCGCACGTGGATCCTCTTCAAACGAAGGGCAATGGCGAGACACGGGTGCAGATACGGCGGAGGAGCAGGGAGGAGGAGGAGGAATAGGAGGGGAGAAGAAGGAACGAACAGAGGAAGGAAGGGGAGACGGGAAGAGAGCGGTTCCATGTCAAGACTTTTGTGGGCCGAACGCGCCCCACCCTCATCCAGTCTGTTGCTACTCGGCCACCCACCGTGCGCAAGAGAGGCCAGCCCCCCGCGGACGCCCCAGTGCGGATAAGTTGCATGGCGCTCAGTGTGGTCAGGATTTTCTGCGGCTTGACTTCAAAAGTGATCAACTCAACAAGTAAGCCATTGATGTGAACCAACATTAGGGGAGCGAGCACTGACATAAACATAACGACTCGGAGGTCCGCGCGGATTTCTCGGATCGGCGCTGGAGCCCCCTGGCAGTGCCTCCGGCGCCGCCCTAGGCGCGGTCGCCGCCACCTTTCGCGTAGTTTCTTTACTCCCTTTTCGCTCCCTCCTGGTGATTACGGTCTTGGTGATGGTCGTTTCCCTCCTGCGAGTTATTGCACCAATCGCGTCCTGGCTTCTTTACGTTTTGTGCACTTTTTTTTTTTTTTTTTTTTTTTTTTTTTTTTTTTCTCTCTCTCTCTCTCACACGAGGCCGTTTGCTGCTGCACGCCGCACCCATCTGTGTTTCTGTTGCTGGGCGGTAGAAAGTCGGCCCAACGCAAAAGGCAGGGTGACGCCAAGTGACCACCTCACCCATCCTGGTCGGCCCCATCCTGGGCTCAGGATTCGTGTGCATCCCTCCCAAGCCCGGATGTCGTACACACCGATCGTGTCCCCAGGATGGGCTTGGCCAGTGTCGGTGTAGATGTTAGGCTGTCCATTGCCAGCTTGTTTGTTTATGGGCAGACGATGTGTGCGATTGGAATGAGAAGGTATTTTCGAAGTGTTTAATGCTGCAACGTCCTAGCCAGAACACGTTGGTACATATGGTCGCTGGTTAGAGCCCCACCGACGTCGCCGATGTGAAGCTGCCTGCAGAACCAAAGCGCTCTAGAGGCAGGCCGTACACCACGTCGAGCCGGTTTTCATGGACGTTTGTGTCACCCGCGTCCCTGGTTGGACCAGGCGTTGTGCTCGATCAGGGACTGCTGTGGTCGGCATCCTCCCACGTCGCAACTCGGCGGCGAGCGAGGGGGGGAAGTGAAAAGGAGAAGGCCTTCTCAGAAGGTTCGGCAGTCCCCCCGGCCTTCTGAGAAGTTTTTCGAGGCCTTCCCCGAAGACCCATGCCAACTTTTCAGAAGGCGCGAGTACTTCCGAGAAGCCCCGCCGCCATTTCTGAGAAGGTCTTCTCCTTCTCACTTCCCCCCTCGTTTGCCTCCGAGCAACTCTAGGCCTCCTGGATGGGGTCCGAGTAGATCGGGTCGTATCATCGCGCCGCATCGCCGATGCATCCACGATGCGGCTCCATGTGGAGCACGTGTTTCCCCACGCCGACGACGCCGATGCATCGCCGATGAATCGCCGATACATCGGCGATGCATTGGCGATGCGGCGCGATCCTTCGACCCCGGCTACTCGGACTTCATCCAGGAGGCCTCTGGCAACGTCCCCCCCGGCTCGCCCTCTCGGTGTGGGCCCCGCCGCCGCCGCCCCAGTCCGCGGCGCGGCGCCAGGCGCGGCACGGCGCCTCCAGGTCGCTGGCGGCGCTGGCGAGGGTGGACTCAGAGGCGCCCCTGCCCCACTCGCCCCCTCCCCCCCCCTCGAATGCTGGTTTCCCCCCCCCCCCTCGGATGCTGGTTTTCCCGAG